ACACACACACACGCACGCGCGCGCACTCACGGACGTACGAACGAACGCACGCACGCATACACACACACGCATACACACACGCGCACACACACACACACACACACACACACGCACATGACACGCACACACGCACGCATACACGCATGAACTCACGGACGAACGCACGAACACACGCATACACACACACGCACACACAACGCACGCACGCATACATACACACGCACACACGCGTACACACACAGAGACACTCACACACACGCGCGCGCGCGTGCACGCTTACACACACATACAAACACATACACACACACACACACACACACACACACACACACACACACACACACACATACGCACACTCGCACGCACACACACACACAAAAACAGACACACACACGCACGCACGCACACACACACACACACACACACACACACACACACACACACACTTTAAAAAGTGTTGGGCGGTCACACTCACTGCATACATCTCAATCACTTCTGTTTTCTCTTCTCCACCGTCTTTCTCTCTCTTTATATAGGAAGGGAAAAGGGGGGGGTTCTAATTTTGAACTTTTTAATGCTGTTTTAAAACCCCGTCAACACAAACTGTTGATTTTTCAAATCTGTGAGTAGCGTAATAATGTTAACTTATTCTAGAGAGATTGTAGGCGCTTTTGCTGACAGCCTAATAATATTAATTCTTTTATAAGGCCATCAGGCGTCGTCCTCCCATTTCCCTTGGTGCAAATTGAGAAAGTGTCGGATAAAAGGGAAAGGAAAGGGGTGGGGGTGTTGTTGTTGTTGTTTTTTTGTGGGTTTTTTTGTGTGTTTTTTTGGGTCGTCTCTCATAATATGTTTATGTTACATGATAATAACTGTGTTAATGGGGGCGTCAACAGACCAATTCAGTGATAATAACGTATTTAAAAGAAAAGTAATACCCAATTTAATTATTTCAATAAAAGAGTAAGGCGATTATGTTCTCTATACTCGTATTTATCTTCTGTGATCCCAAAATTCAATTCAAATCGCCCTCCTTCCCCTTTTGAATTTTATTTCTGGTCTTTGGGATATTTACGCTAGATCTACCTAATATTGATGTATTGCAAAGAGACTGTATATTATTTGCTCATATTAATCACTATGCACTGATCTTTATAGTGCCGATGGTGGTGTAAAATGGTTGGTTGGTGAGCGCCATTGGTAGGTCCTCCGTCTGTTCTTTCCTTCTATTGCTTCTGTCTCAGTTTTTTCCTGCACTGAACGACGGTTGTTGTGGCGATGTTGATTTTTTTGACTTCCTTAAACAACAGTTATTATGTCGATGTGTTTCTCTTTACTCACGAACATGGTCTTTAAAGCATCTGCAATTACTCAATATGCACTTTTTCTGTTGCATCAACAGGTGTGGCCCCCTTCTACGTGTGTAGGGCACACGGGCGTGACGAGAACGGTTTACTGTGACCTGTTTTTTTTCCTCTCGCCTTCCTCACTGACCCGAGTCCCACTGCCTCCCCGGCATGACGGCGCGCGAAGGACGCTGGTGAAAAAAGTTGCCTAGTAACTGACGCTCAGCCGCACGTGCTCGCACGCGCCTCGTGAAATATTGGAGGTGCGCGCGCGATTACCCCAGCCAATCAGCGGACGCGGAGTGCGCGTGACGTCAGCAGGGCTCGTGAACAAAAATGCCGCCTCCGACGAAAAGTTCCATAAGTTCCAAGCCAACTGCCAGCGGAGCGAGTACGGCAGCGACACATAGTGGATTTACTTCTGGTGACAATGCATCTCATAGAACCGGTGGTGGGGGAGGAGGTGGCGGTGGCGGCGGCGGTGGTGGTGGTGGAGGAGGAGGTCGTGGTGGAGGAGATAGCGGCGGTTCTGTGAACGCCTCGGACTCTTCGTTCAAAACCTCAGAGCATCCTCGTAACCCGTACCAGTACCGGCCCTCTGACGTGGGAAAATCTCACGGATCTCCAACGAAAGGCTCCGGTTCGAACACCAACAACAACAACGCTTCTGGTCAACCTTCGCATCAACCACCTTCGTCGTCGTCGTCGTCGTCAACCCCGGCCGGCGGCGGCGGCCACCACCACCACCTTCAGAACCCCCACTCACACGCTACTACGGCGCCTACCAGCCCCCGAGCCGCCAAAATGGGCAACGGTGCCAGTTCGAACACGCACTTCACCATAGACGGTGAGTCGATGGACGTTCACAAAGTCAAGGCGTTGGTCCCAGAGCTCCGGCATGAGCTCAGACGGCGGGATAAGATCATCGAGCAGTACGACTCGCAAGTGCGACAGAAGGACGAGTTGCTGAAAGAAAAAGAAGCGGAGATCGCTCGCCTCAAAGAAGAGGTTCACAAGCTGAAATCGGTTCTGCAGCTCAAAGTGGACACGCTGAAAGCCCAGGAGAGTAAGCCAGACCTCCTGTCCACTATCGACGAAAACCAGGCCGAGCCTACTGCTCCTCGGGGCCCTGCTAAAAAGCAGGGTGTGTCGGGAGAGAGCCCCAGCTCAAAGACCCTGGGCTATGTGGATCTAACACACCACGAAAAGGATTTCAAGTGAGTACAGTCCGCTCGAGCTATAAGGCTCTTGTAGCCTCCGCTTAGTTCCGTTTCTGTTGGGGGTAAGATTCTTGTAGCCCCCGCTTGGTTCCGTTTCTTTTCACTTTTGTCTGCTTCCAATGTGTGTACGTGTGCGGGTGATTTTTTTATTTTTTTTTGGGGGGGGGTGCACTGGTAGGTCCTATTTCTTTACTGTCCCTCTGCTGTTTCTGTCCGTCTGTCTGTCTGTCTTTTTCCCGGTACTAAATGACCATTATAGTGTAAACTTGCTTCTCTTTACCCAAACAAGCAAAAATCAAACAAAAACAAACAAATTAACAAGAGGGTGATTGTAGAACGCCACTGGTCTTTTTTATGCCAGGCCATTTGACGGTCGACCTCTTTGATAACTGTTCCACGTGGCGGTCTACCATAGTGCGGACACAAATTCTTGGAGCATTTTATCCTCGAATATCTTTGATGAATCAGGATCAGCCATACTTTGCACAGTAGTTTGTATCAAACTGCCTCAACTTCATCATATTTTCCAGAGCAATTGAGACTAGATTTAAAGACCTGTCTTCATTATACACACACACACACACACACACACACACACACACACACACACACACACACACACACACACACACACACACACACACACACACACACACACATATATATATATATATATAGATATATATATATATATATATATATATAATACTACAAATCTTTGTTGTGCTGAAAATGGGATGGTTCACATAACTTCCCAGCGTCTCACACACATTGTGCATACGTATGTTGCCTAGATCTACGTCACGGCTCACCTTACGTATGTTGCCTAGATCTACGTCACGGCGCACCTCACCAGTGACACTTTTTAGTGGTAAAACGTTAGCCCCCGCATAATAGCGATCCTCCGATAATATGACAAGTGAAATTGTAAAGAATTTCTACTCATACATAATAACTTGTCTGATTATCACTTGTCTGATGAGAAACACGTATGGTGAGGATAAATCATAGTCAGATATTGTTACAGGAAAGTGCTTTGGTTTGGTGCCGGCATTTTTAACTTTGTTAGATACAGGTGAGAAAGTTTTGAACGCACCATTTCTTGCACTGAAGTTCCTCAAAACAGGAATTCCATAAGCATAATGTCGGGATTAGAAGTAGTAGGACAGACTTGCTTTTAAAGTTTCTATTGTCCCAGCTCATAGGATGTAAACATTTTAAAATCTGTAGAAACCATTGACTATAGTGCGGTAAAAAATGTGTGGAGCAATTTGCAGTCAAATATCTCCTCAACCATTGAACATAAACTATCCAGCTTTTACACAGTGGCTTTTATCAGTTTATCTTTACAGATCAATATTTTTGTAAACACCCGTGAGCTCTATTCTGGAAAATTCTTTAATAAATACTAACAAAAAAAAAACCCAGTGGGTGGTTTCTACTAATTTTAAAAGGTTTACAGCTGGGACAACATCGCTTATAAAAGCAAGTCCGTCATTTTTTTTTCTAATCTCGAGATTATCTTTATTGAACGCATGTTTTGAGACGTTTTAGAGCAAAAAAGTGTTCACTGTAAAATTAATTTCTTGTCACTAGTTTTTGCCACTAAAATGTGTTATTGGTGAGCTGTGACGTATGCCATATGCGTACGCAAATATTATGTGTGTGAGGAGCGGGAACTGCTGTGAACAATTCCATTTTCCGCATGAAGGAGATTTGTAGCATTTTATGTAAATTAAGGAAGAAAGGTTTTTTAATCTACCCTCAATTGTTGTGGAAAAATGTGATTGAATTAAGACAAATTGATACAAACTGCTGTGCAAAGTATGGGTGACATTGATTCACCCGTTAGCAATATATTTGAGGATAAGTTGCGCCACGAATTTTTGACCGCACTCTAGGGTTTGTTATAAGTATTCATTAGGGAATTTTCCAGAATGCAGCGCACGGGTGTTCAAAAAATATTCATCGGTTGGGACAAATTGATAAAAAACCGTTGTGCAAAAGCTGGACAGTCTATATTCAATAGCTGAGGAGATATTTGACAATAAGTTGCGACACGAATTTTTAACCGCACTGTAGCCCTAGCGGTTTGCTACCGAACTTGTAATCAGTTTTCCTCTCGTCACCTAGGTGGGAATTGGTCTCCGACCACAGACTAGGAAAGATCTTGTCAATATGTCAGTGTTTTAGCGCCTAAAAAATGGCTCATGTGCTTGCCAGGAAGTTGTTTCAGAATGCTATCAGGTCTACTGGGGTAATAATACAGATTGTAAAGCGCTTAGAGCTTGCTGTTGAGCGTGAATTTGTGCTGTACTAATGCTATTAATTATTATTAATACAATCCACAGCCGTCACCCTAACTCGTCGTTTTATTCGGGTTAGGTTTAGGTAGTAGACATTTAGACCGCTAGTGGAGCAACTGTCAGACTTGTTCGATGGTAGGCCATCAAGTAGGACTGCAGGACAGAGAGAAACAGCGTGATAGACCAGTAATAGACTGGCACCATTAAAACTTTATTTCTCTCTTTTATTGTCTCTTTCTGTGCGACTCTCTTTTCCAGCAGTAAATGACCGTTACTGTGCTGACATGGTTTTCTTTACTTATAGTATAGTTCAAAAAGTGTTAACCTATCTTAAAGTGCCTTTTAAAATGAACAATTGATGGATGGTAGGAAGTCCTGTGTGGTCAGTTCTTACTACTTCTCTTCAAAGTTCTGTTTCAGGCAAAAAGGCTAATTATTTTATCCACCGTGTAGACTCATCATAAACAATAACACTACAACTAATCTCTTGCATTGATTGGAAGAAGAAAGCCTTAGTGGTTTTTTGTGTTCTTTTCATATAATAAGGGTTTTCACAATTTTTCTAACGTCTTTCTAAAAATAATATGTGTATATCAGGTAGTTTGTAAAGTTGCGTGTGTGTTTATCTACGTATGTTTATGTATGTATGTTTGTGCGTGTATCTGTTTTTCTCTGCTTAATTTACCGGATTGCCCCCGTCTGTCTTAGCGTTTGTGTCTCTCCGTCAGGCAACATCTATCTATCTATCTATCTATATATCTGTAGACAAATAGACAGATAGATAGATAGATAGATAGATAGATAGATAGATAGATAGATAGATAGATAGATAGATAGATAGATAGATAGATAGATAGATAGATAGAAAAATAGATAGATAGATAGATAGATAGATAGGTAGGTAGGTAGATAGGTAGATAGATAGATAGATGGATAGATAGATAGATAGATAGATAGATAGATAGATAGATAGATACTATTATATAGACAGACAGACAGACAGACAGACAGACAGACAGACAGACAGACAGACAGACAGATAGATAGATAGATAGATAGATAGACAGATCGATACATAGATAGAAAACTTCTCCCTTTTTTCGATGCACACCCGTAACCCATTCCCCTTTTCCCCTCTATTTCTCGGTAACTCCTGTCTGTCTTTATATGACCTTTCTTATGGCTCCCTGCTATCCACTTAAGTCGCACTATCGTATGTGTCGTGCGTGCCCCGGCAAATTACTCAGTTTCCGCCTCGCTGCCCTTGTAAGGCCTCGGGTCTTGATAGTTCTATTATTTGATAGTCAATCTGATTTAGTCGTCCTTTTTTAAAGCTTGAAATCGAAGGGGAAGAAAGCGGTCTCAGTTTCTTTGCTTATACTGTTGGAGATTTATTTCAGCAATTCATAGGGGTAGTTTTGTTGTTGTTGTCGATGATGTTGTTGTTGTTGTTGTTGTTGTTGTTGTTGTTGTTGTTGTTGTTGTTGTTGTTGTTGTTGTTGTTGTTTTCTTTTAAGTCTTCCTGATCCCCAAGCTTGTTTAGGCTTGTGTGTGAATGATTGGCGCGTGCTCTGGTGTGGTTTGCTCTTTCTTTCCCTTCAATCATTCTGTTGTCCTTATCTCTTGTTCTTGTTCTTGTTTTCTTTGTGCATTACTCTCCAGTAACATCTTCAATCTTAGGGGAAAATACTACCTTTTTTTGTGTTGCATATGCCGTTAAAAAAATCTTAATAAATGTTTTAAAGGCTTTCATAATTGCAACAGTTGGGTAGGTGTGTCAGTTTGAAGTGTCTTGTATTATATAACGAGTGGATAAGGGCATTCCAATACGACTCCGTTTGATTTGGTTTGTAATGATTTAAGGTGCTCGTGTGTTCTTCAGAATTGTTTAAGGTGTGTGCTTAAAAGCGTCATTTTCCCAAGAGAATCATAGTCTAGATATACCTTTGTTTCCATTGCAGTATAAGTCATATACGAAAACATATTATTTTGGAGACGGGGCTTGTTATTTTGTGGAGAGGGCAAGTAGGTGGTTGGCGGGTGCTCTGGTGTGGTTTGCTTCTTCCTTCCAATCAAACGTCTATCGTCTTTATCTCCCCTCCTTTTTAGTGTTTGTTACTCTCTTTTTAGTAGCAAAACTTCTTACAAAAAATAATTATAGTGAACCCCTTTTTTGTACTAACGGTTCTCAAAATATGCGTCCAATAAGCATTATGTCACGGTTTTTTTTATTAACAACACACTTGTTTTTAAAGGTGATATTGCCCCAGATGTAAGCCTTTTGAAATATGTAGAAACTACCCACTTGATATTTTATAGTATCTCTTCAGGAACTTTCTAGAATACAGGTAGCAGATGTTTACAAAATGTTGATCTGTTAAGACAAATTGACACAAGCCAGTGAGCAAAAGTTGGAGAACGTAAGTTCGATAGTTGAGGAGATATTTGACCATGAGTTGCGCCACGAATTGTGACGGCACTATAGTGGGGAAATGTTATTGCGAGCACAGCCAAGAGGTATATTTCGTACAGATGGGATAATTGGGTAATGTAACTGTGCATGTCGTCAGTTTGGAGACCACCAATGACTCGAGATTAATTGCTGCTCTGCTCCAGATGTCCTTGCAAAGTACAATGTCGTCTTAGTCGACTAACCGGCGTCCTTTGGGGTAGCAGATAGGCGGTTGACTG